AAGCCTGATACCCCCTCCCACACACACACACACACACACACACACACACACACACCTCCCCCCTCTTCCACAGGCATCCTGGCTGCCACTCCTTCCCTAACAACCACACACACACAAACGAAAAGATGCAGACACACATGCACATATACATAAACACATATAAACAAACACGCACACATGCACACACACACACACACACACCCTTTTAAACACACACCCAACCCCTTTCGCTCAACACACATCCTGTCTTTTCTTACAGTTAAACATAAACACACACACACACAGAGAGACACACAAGCGAACTGCTAATATTCAACTCAAAATGTGAAACAACACACATTTTTACGCACATCATTTTTTTCTTGCAGCAAAAGGGGAAAAAAAAACATCCTCCAATCCTTCATACACACTTCTCATCACCGACATTTGTGAGTCAATCTGTTTTGAAGTCACACAGATACAAGAGACGACTCAAATTATAGCCAAGATCAATTTATTTCAACCTACTCACACACCCTTGGAAATCCAGTCAATAATAAATAAGTTTTTACACCATACCAAAGTTTCAAACAAACATAAAAGACTGTACATTACTCTGATTTCATATTCACAATGCATCAACTGATGCTCTCTGCATGACCTAGAATACATTTCATATTTTTTGTGAGTTAAACCAGTTTTTTGTCCTCAAAGGAAAAAAAAAGAAAGAAAGAAAGAATATTGACTAACAAATGTGTTTCCTGGTCACCATATTGGTCCTGTATCATATTTAATATATCATTCAAAATGAAACTAAGGGGAAGTGCTCTACTAATGCTCTATGCTTACGTCGTCCTTCTAGACATCTCTAGACAGTCTAATGTGTCAATTCTTCACTAATGTTTGAAAAGGGACTCAATGTTGAAGACAACATTTCTGGAACATTTTCTTCTACATGGCTCAAGTTTGAATAAAAGCAGGTACATTTCCAGTAAAGGCAAAGTCAAGATAACGGCATTCCTACATTCGCAAACCAATCACAAGAGAGTGTGAATGAAGCTTAGAGTTGATCACGGAGGACATTTTGAAGCAGCAGATTTGACTCAGTGGAAAGACTTGATGCTACTTTTGTCCAATTGGCAGGTCATTGCTGATGTTAGAGGACCACCTCTCCACACTCATAACAAATAGCAACATGTATTTATGTTGCAGTAAACATTCTCTCACACAATATCCATAACTTACAACTGCAGAGCTGAAACAATTAGTTGATTAAAAGATCTGCAGAAAATTAATTGTCAACTTAATTAATTTTTATGATCAATATTTGTGTTTGTTTATGCCATTTTTCAAAATGTAACTTCTAAAATATGAATATTTATTGTATTTTTTGTCTTGAATAATAGTAAAGTCAATATCTTTGCATCTATCTCCATTGCTCTATCTTTACATTTTGTATCATTCATTCAAGCAATTGAAATTTTGGGCTCTGGTGATAAATATCATGGAAATATTCTCCCTACTACATTGCCTAGTATCACGCGAGCATTGCTCTATCTATATACATCCTGTCATGTGTGAACATAGTCAACATGAAACCATAACAGAGGCCTACTGTATGTTTGAAAGTCAGAGAGCTGGTACTTTAACATAAAGATGAACCCACCAATGTTACAGATCCCATGTCTGGAAGGGGCTTTACTCAAATAGCTCAAGAGAAGATGGTTTTCATTCCAAAATACAGATTTAACTGAGGAAGCTTTTGGACTACAGTGAAGCAAGATGAGCCCGAAGATGAAATCCAGCCTCGGTGTCTGGTCTCTTGTGTTAACATTTTATCGGAATCAAAAGTATATTCAGCAAGACTATCATTACACAGATGAAACCATATTTGCAGGCCGAGGATTATTCCTTCTTGACCATAAACTCCAAAGATAAACAACAATGACAATTCATAAGTATATCCAAACATTTGGTTGATCAAGGATAAAGGAGGTTGATCATACATTTTTCATGATAAAGCTGTTAATCACAGTTTTTACAATGTGAAAATCCCACCATTGTTCTGACAACTCTAATGAGTGTGGCAGCTTCCTACAGTATGATTGCTGCTTATAGACAGATGCGATGGTAACATAATCCTCTCTTTGTGCTTTGAGCCATTTGTCTACAGCTAGCACTCTCTGCAACAGAGGTCAAAAGAGGGGGCACCTAGTGGTGTAACAGATTACACTTGTAAAGAAGACACATGCAGTAAAAGTGTAACAAAAATGTGTTGGAAAAAATAATCAATCAATAGCATACATAGACTAGCAAAACATTTTGTTTGCTAGGAATGTAACCGAAGTGCTGCACTTCCTGTAATCTGCAGGAAGAGGACAGACTAAATATGGCTGTGTGAGTCTTGTGTAGGTCAGTCCATGACTGACAGATATGTGTGACACAAGCAGAAGAACGGAGGGCTCTAATATGAAGCCACTGGAACCTGTAACCACTCAGTTGTCCTATAAAGCTAATGTGCAGGCTGTGAGGCTGCATTCAGACCAACAATAGTACTGCGTCAAAGATATGCAGCCTTATTCACTCCAGTAGCCCCAGTACTGTTGGAGTACTTTGTAACAGCCTAACCCTACTATCTATCTTGCATTTGTTGAAACGGAAAATAAAATAATTGCCACCATAATAACTTTCCACAGTAACATGTTACCACATGTTATTAATACGTAATATATTTGTGTCGGATAGCCTTTAAATTCCTGGATGAGTTTTCTCAAACTGGACTTCCTGGTTCATACTTCTCTAGTCTTTAACCGATTCCTGGTCTGTGGCCAACCAGACCAGCAAATAAACAGACTCAAAACAGAGAACAAGAAAAGATTAATGTGCTGTGTAGTCCAGCAGATAGCTCATCGTCAGAGTAGATGAAGAAGAGCAAGAGGAAAGATAATACATCCTCAATCCATATACCGAACAGAGAAAGGCAATACATAATATGTAATATGTAATATTGCTTTTACAGTATATCACATTAAAAGTGTTGCACTCCAAAGCATTATTCGATATTTCAGATGCATTTGTGCTGTATGGTGTATTTTCATTCTTCATTTAGTGCATAACAGATGGAGTGAAAGAATGTTTGCACACGTACAGTAGCTCTAGTTTCTTAGGGCTTACAAATCATCTTTGAAATTAGTCATAGCTGATCAAACGACCAAATGCATTTATTTTTCCCTCCAGTAACAACATTCAGTTTTCAGAAGCCTGAAAACAGTTTGGAGTACCCTGTATCACTCATATCTTCCAAAGTTTATACTCCCAGTGCACCTACCAGCAGTTTATCAACCTACTAAATACAGCAAGTGACAAAGCAAATACGAACTGAGCAAAATCTGAAGCCCTCGAATGAAACAACGTGACCTAAGTTTATCGGTAAAATTAAAAATAGAAACACTGCAAAGGTTTGCTTGTTTTTTTCCTCAAAAAGCTCTTAATAAAATATTTCCTTCCAAATCATCCCTTTCTACTATGTGCTCCCTGTGACTAGCATAGCACCGTGGCTCTTTTGGTTACTTAGGCAATATATGTGCAATATGTTTAGGATTCAATTCCATTTACAGTAACTTCTCTTCTTCTTACCCTGAAGCTCTTTGCGTCATTAAAGACAATCTGACTCTGTGGATGATGCCAGTCTAATTAGCAACACAGCCCAGTTTAGACTGACAGAGTTACATGTTGAAGGCCATTTTTGATTCATTTTCTGTTACATGATCACAATTTAATCTACTACAAGTTAACTTATTTTACTATATGTTGAATATTGCAGTGCAAGCTGCAACTGGATAGATAATGGACCACTTGACAGACAAAAATCCTTAATTTCAGGTGACTAAATTCAAACCCAGATAAAATGGGATATGTGCCTTAAAACTTTTGTTCATATACTTGTATAACTTTGTTCACAATGGTCACAATTGTGATGCAGAACATGATTTTTGCGTCCGTCTTGCTGGGATTTTTAGCACGACCTGATCTGACCTAAAACTTTTAGTGTAGTGACATTTGTCACATTTCAATTTCACTATGTGAACTGAAGTAGAATTGTAGTTTTCTATTATTTTAAACAATTCAAATCTGTTTCACAAATTAATGGAAGTAGACTATTAAGATTATTTTTCATCGATTAGGTTTTGTTCTCTGCTTTTGCTCATTTGTATGCTCACACTTGTTGCTTTCTTAACCCTGCAACATGGTTTTACATGATTTCATTGCTTATAAAGTGCCCTAAAAACACAACAAAACTATAAGAACACAGCATTACTGAGGACAATCAAGAAAGAAAGTAATGAATCTATGTAATAGTGCCATGTAAACACTAGAGGGTGGCGTTACACAGATATTTTTTCATTCAATGACTGCACATCCCCAGATGATAATCTGTGTGGAATGATTTATAGCCACAGTATTCAAAACTACACATACCAGAGCTACAGTCTGGTGATGGCATGAATTCAAATAGCCTAATTTTTATCAGAATGTGCCCCTCGCTGACTGTTCCCTGCGTCAGCTGCAGTGGATCTTGGCAGTATATCTTGAATAATAACTTCAGCTGTATCAACGGAGTGAATGTGCAGGGAACACCATGAATGTGAGTTTGATGTTAGCAGGTAAAAAAAGTATCAAAAGTGTTAATCAATGTTATGTTTCCTCAATGCCAAAATGTGAAAGAAAGAAAGAAACTCAGTATCTTAACTCTAGATGTATTGTTAGATTTGATCTAAGATGGTAAACAATAAATTTAAAGCTGTATTAGACTCTGCCACACTTGAAATAATCTTGTTCCACACATGTTGTTATTAGCTGTGATAAACACGGTTATTGTCTCTTGCTGCCTCTCTGTTTAAGGCCTATGTTTAGTGAAGGGGGCTTCATGCCCTAAAAATAACCCAACCCACTCATCTCCCTGTGTCAGTAGGGATCTCTCTCTTTCTCTCTCTCTCTCATCTCCTTCTTTTTATCTTCATACATCGGAACCCGTCAGAACACATCATCTTTTTGTCCCTTTCATCCCTTCACCCACCTCTTTCTCTCTCCGCTTTTCTCATTCATTAATTCGTCTTCACCCCCACACACACACACTCACACACACACACACTTCTCTCATCTCCGGGCACTTCTCGTTGTCCTCGCTCGCGTGGTCCTCACTCGTTCCTTGGTTATCACTGAGGGCAGGGCTTGCAAGGTGGTGATGGCCATCTTGGTCCAGTAGTCCACCTCTTTGAAGATCTGGTACACCCAAAGCTTCAGATCAAACAGAGTGGTCGGACCGTCTGACTGCCAATAAGACGAGGAGAGATCAAAAAGTTCTGCCTTTATTTCTATTAAGCACTTTCATCATCATTAGACCTCCTGTCGACACTGGCACCTACCTCTAATCCCTCCGCGCTGGGAGTCAGGATCGCCGTGCCGTCAGCAGCTTTGAGGAGTTCTCCAGTGTTGATTAAGAGAAGCGACAGTCTGTCCTTCACCATCTTCCTCTGGGTCTCATATTCGGCCTTCATCCCACTGCCCAGCTCCTCTTCCTCTCTGGCGATGGCTTTCTCCAGCAAGCTGCGGCACTGCAACAGAGCAGAGTGGAGACGCCACAGCTTGTCCCTGGTGTCCAGCTGGGAGGAAGGAGGAGGGACGGACACCAGACGGCCGTCGGCCACCAAAACATCTGCAGTGAAACTCTCCTTCTTTCTCTAGAGGAAGGACAGAGAGAAAACAAAAAGGGTGGAAATTGAGAACAGAAGTGAGGTGTAGGAATGCATCAATAAAAAGGAAAAAGAAGAGGAGGAGCAGCTGTAAAATGAATTGCGTAAGTGGAAGATTGAAGAATGCTTTCTATCAAAACACAATGGCGTCACTTTTGACAGCAATTTGGCACAATATTGAAGATCATTATCTGTGAGGCAACAGGGATTTTCTCCTAATGTGATAGGAATTTGTTCAGGCTCATTCACATTGCTTCAAAGAATACATTTTTGCTCAGCCTGATTCCACTGGGGATTTATTAAGTCAACAAGTGAAAGGTTAACACGAGCTGGTTAAAAAACAACAACAAAAGAAGCAAAGAAAAAAAGAGGTGGAACACATACAAGACCATGCAATGATTACAGAGGGTGTGATACTTTTCCTGAAACACAAATCCTTAACACATATATTCACATTAGATTAACATTGTGGGAAATTCACGTACTCACTTTCTTGCCGAGAGTTAAGTGAGAAGTTTGATACCTTACTCATGTATGTTTGATAAATATGAGGCTACAACCAGCAGCTGGTTAGCTTATCTTAGCTTAAAGACTACCCTAGCCAACCACAAAATGTTTACACTCCACGTGGTTTTTGTACGGATTAAATAAACATGATACAATGTTTTGATTAGTGAGCTTTAGAGGTGCATGTATTTTTTTTAATCTCAGGACAGGACCAGGCTAGCTGTTTCCCCTATTTCTAGTCGTCATGCTAAACTAAGTGAACCAGCTTCTGGCAGTGGCTTCATATTTACCGTACAGATGTGAGAGTGGTGTTAATATTCTCATCTAACTGTCAGCAAGAAAGCGAAGAGGCCTATTATCAAACTATTCCGTTAATATTTGATAAGCAGCACATAACAAAACTAGCACCTTTGTACATAATATTACATTAAGCTGACAGATCACTTCACAGGCAGGATCGTTGCTGGCATCTGCTTTGGTACTTGAGTGAGTTGTGAATCCCAGGGGCCTCCTTGGGACATTTTTCTGAGGCGTTAATGTTGAACCCTGCATGCAAAGTTAGTAGCAGTGTGACAGATTGGACTAATGTGACCTCCCGTAAGCTCTGAGAGTCAGGGGGTAAGTTAATGTTTACTGCTCAGACTGCAGAGGAAATGTGAGTCAGGTCGTTATGAATACCCCAGGAAGCGACCAGAGAAAATATTCTCATGGATCATTTTGAATTATGATAACTTGGTAAGCTCCGAGAATTATTTAAGAGCTATCAAACGGATGTTGTAAAATAAGTGTTTTCCCACCCAATGAATAGACAAGGACCAGTCTGTGTGGAAAATATTCAAAATATTCTGCGTTGGATTTCAGAGACAATTCCTTCCAGCCAAGAAGAGAAAACACAGGGGACAGAAATGCACATAAAGTTCTCTATGACAAGCTAAAACATATCTAATCACTTTATGGTGCGTTCACTGGTATGTTGCTATAGCTTTGGTGGGCTGCAGCAGTATTTCCAATAAAAACCCTGCCCACGGAGTCAGTAATAAGTGTGTATACAAAAGTGGAAAAGAAGAATATTGAAGAAAACATGAAGGACAGGGGAAGGAAAGGTCAAATCTTGGGAGCGAAGTGGATAAAGTTATATGCCAGGCCACTCCCATGCCCTTGGCGAAACAGATGAAAGGAAGAATGAGGCAGTGAACTGGCAGGAAACCAATAAGTTTTAATAACCGGTAGCTCTCACACCTATAGGCAAAGAGTTTGTGGAGGAGAGACGAGGGCTTCGTGCCCAGGCACTGATGAGTCTGTGCCAGAAAAACGCCCACCTCTGTCACTCCAACCGAGTTCACCCCCTCAACTCTGCATTCTTACCCCCTGCTGTCCTAGACATAATTTTCTTTCTCACACAAACACACACACACACACACACACACACACACACACCCTCTTATCTTGCTCTCACACGCATCCCTTTCATCATTCTTTCTTGTTGTCTCTCATCCACTTCCACTCTCTCTCTGTCTCTGTGTCACACACACACTTTGTCCATGTACTTCTTTGACACACACACACACACACACACACACAGTTACATGCACACACCTCCTGTACCTACATGCACAAAATCCATCTTCCCCAAATTTCGCACAATCTTTCTCTTTCAAGTGCAGCTACTGTACACATACACACGCATAGCCTCTCTCATGCACGCAGCCAAACACACACCACTCTCTCCAGGCGCACACATGCACACACATTAAAAACACACTCCCCCTCGCTCACAGAGGGCTGTGGCAGTAGTGTAGCGCACTGGTTGGGGTAATGGTCTAGTGAAAAACCATTTCACGGCATAGCGAGCAGAGGAGAGGCAGAGAGGAGAGCGCGGAAATCAAGCAGAAGAGACTGATACTGAAGGGAAAGGGAACACACACACACACACACACGCACACACACCCCAACGCACACACAGAAAGTGACACAGACAGACACTCACAAACACACACCTACACAGGCATACACACTCTAAGAGGGGCTCATCTCTCT